CCCGGGGCTGGGGGAGCCCCCAGCCCAACGAATTAAACGAATTAAGTAGTGAGGAAGGGAAGGAGTCGGGGTACACCCTTCTGCTGATGGGGCGAGGGTGTGTTTGTCACCGCGCACCTGCCTGCAGCTCTCCTTTTAGGAAAATAGGAGGAACTTACAGGTTCCAGAAAGCACTGCTCCAAGTGCAGGTTTTGGAGTGAGCCCAGTGCGCTTTCCTGGGACCTTGCCAAGGTCCCAGACACACCACTTTTGTCCCCAGCCCCTGCAGGAAGGCTTGTATTTCACAGCAGTCTCCTGGCCAGCAGCTGCAAGGCAAGGAGGCAGCTTGCGATGCCAAGCTCCTGGGAGCCCCGAGCTGTAGAGGAGCTCAGTGGTGAAGGGGATCCCTGGAAATCCAGCAAGGCAGAAGAAAAAGGGGAGTGGAGGGTGGAGGTCAGGCCCTGGCTGGGCTGCCTGTCTCCGCTAGCAGGAGGCAGATGCACCCGATCAATGAGACAACCTGAGAAAGGATCCCCAGGCCTTCATGGGGAGGGAGAGGGGAGCCTTACACAGCACGGGAAGGACCCTAGTCTCCATTGCCATCTCCCAGCGTGGACATAACAAGCCCGCAACCCTCAGCTGGGACAGGATTGAACCACTGATTTGGAAATGAGCCTGTCCCAGCAGCTGCTCGGGGCAGGTGAGGGGGAACAAAAGTTTCAAGGCTGGTAGGAATAAGTAAGTGGCCATGGGTGCTTGAAAGGGGTGAGACGCTCTGGAGAAGTAGACACTAACGGCATTGGGCTCCTCCATGTACTGATTTTGCAGTAACTTAGTGCATGTGACAGCGCCTGCATTGGAGACTTTCTTCCACCTCTGAAGAGGGCTGATCCAGCTTGTTGATATTTCCTGCAGAAAAAGATTTCTCTGGCCAGAAAAGAAACCCCACTGCCCTAAATAGCTCTTAGGGCAAACACCTGAGAATGCCTGTCTCCCCGGGGCTCTGCTTAGTGTGATCTCTGAGTGATTTTTTGCAGGGCCTGACATCCAGAGACCTAGCAAAGATGGACAAATCCAGCCCTCAGCTGGTGGGAGGATGCTGGCTGGGGATCTGCCTCCAAGCATCAGCCAGGCAGAGCCAGCTGGACTGGGGTGCCTCTGCTCCCTGCCCTAGGCATCCATTTGTAGGATCATTGGATGCACCTCCAAGCGGGTGCTGACCCTTGTAAATGCTCCTGTTGGGATGTGAACCCAAAAGCACCAAGACTGTCCCTGGTATATCCTGGTGCGTGAGCTTGCAGCACTGCGTGTCCTCTTAGAGGACTGAAGTCCTCTTTACCCCCCCAAATTAGGGAGCTGGATGCAAAGGCTACAAATTAATTGCTAGCTCTCATGAGATGGATTATTTCCAGAACCTTGTGCTCTACAGCACTGCTCAAGCCCCAGGCGCAGAGAGCCCAAGGGGAAACTAAGGTCAGCACCAATTTGAACAGGAGCATCTGAACCGGGTGTTGTCCTGAAGCTTAGATGTGCAGTGCCCAGACTTCCAATGCCAGAAGCTGTGTGGCTTTCCTAAGGCTGCAGGTGAGGTCTGTGGCTTGTGCAGGGATTAAATCCTGGGGCTGTGCATCCTCCCAAAACCCATCAATAATTGCCATTGACTTCCAGAAGGCTTGAATCCCAGTTGGGACCTAGCCCTGCCTGCCCTTCTGCTTTGTCCTCACCGGGTGCTGGGCAGAGGAAGACCTGACTTACCTGTAGTCTGTCTCCTGGTCTGTTTTATTGCCTGAAAGCCTCTACTTTGGGCTCAGCAGCTGGGGGCTGTGACCCTCATTAGCCAGCCTAGCTCACTGGTGGTGACCTTGTGATTTCTCAGGGCCAGTCCCTCCAGGGCCCTCAGCATCTGCTCAGCCTGGGGGATCTCTGGCGCAGGGAAGGCCAAAGGTTTTGCCCAGCATCGACCGGGGCCTTTGGAATCCACAAGCAGCATCAGAAGACTGTTATTTTTTGGAGAGAGGGCAGCTCCCGGGTCTCAGCAGCAGAGCTGGGTCCCTCTGGATGTCAGCGCTCAGTGCCAGGGGACTCTGTGGCACCGTGCGAGGCCGGCATGGCATGCTTTGCCACTTCCCTGTGGAGACAAACTGACATGCTCAGGGCTGGTGAGCAGGGTCTGCCCCACATCCCCCATGTGGGAAGGGGTTGGAGAAGAAGGCCAGGCTGGTACTGGACAAGGGCAAAGGCAGCTGCAGCCCTGGGGGATGAGAAGGCCCCCTGCCCGAGGGCAGCCTCCTGGCCCCGGCTGGCCCCAACCCTCGCTCCCTCCCTCCCTCCCTCCCCTCCCAGCTCCTCCTAACCACAAGGACTTTGGTTGATGGAGCTGGCGCCAGTGAGTTCCCTGAAGAGTTCAGAAGTCAAGAACTGAGGCAGGTACAGGGAGGGGGGGAAACCTGACCCCGGCAGGCAGGCAGGGCTGGGCGGTGGAGGGGGAGCAAGCCGGGCACTGGGCACCAGCTGGGCATAGGGCTGAGGGGCGGCTGTGAACTGCTGCTGCCCGCTGTGCCTCCAGTGCTTCCCCAGCGTGGGGCCATGGTGGTGGGTGCGGTGATAGTGGTGGGTCTTGGGGTGTCACAGCAGGGTTGTGGCTGGGGTGAGGGTGGCAGGAACCCACGAGCACTGGTGTGTCAGTGTGTGCGTGTGTGTGTCTGGAGGTGTCTGAATGCATAGGTATAGGGGTGCATTGATGTGTGTTGTGGGAGTGAATGTGCACGTGTGAATGCATACAGTCATGAAGGTGTGAGTGAGAATGCACATGTGTGTGAATTTGTGTGGGTGCAGGGAGGGTTGTAAGTGTCTGTAAGAATGGGGGGGCATGTGAGTATGTGTGCACAAATGTAGGTGCAAGCAAATGCGTGGGACTGTGTGGCAGCATGGGTGCCTGTGAGCTCATGAGGGTGTTTGTGAGCGTGTGTGTTTGTGAGGGTGAGGCCGTGTGAGTGGGTGTGTGTGTATGTGAGAATGCAGATGGGATATGTGTATGTATAGCGGTGAGTGAGGAGGTGTACCTGAGTGCATGGGCACGACTTCCTATGCCAGTGCATTTGTATTGCACGGGGGATGCCCCAGAGCGGACTGTCTTGCAGGACCCCCACGGTCCCCCGTGGGCACTAAAGCACTGGCACATCGAAGACGTAGAGGGCAGCGTTTGCCCCAGCCGAGGTGGAGGGGGCCTGTCGGCCCCAGCCAGGAGAAGGGAGGTCGCAGCGGGCTGCCCAGTGCTGGCAGAGCACAAACCAGTGGGAAAACCCTCGACTCCGCAGAGCTGGAGCTCTGGGCAGAGCCGGTCGGCAGGGCAGGGGGCTGGAGCCGGTCGTGCCCCCAGCCCCACAGGCTGCTCTGCCCCCCACCCAGCTGCGCGGAGCAGGAGCACCGACGGGCCAGGGCCAAAACAAGTTTTGCAGCAAATCACGGCAGCGGCTTTCAATTTCTAAAAAATATTTATTTACTTCTCTATTTATTTATTTATCAACGAAACCACTCATCTCCCCGCGGGCAGGCGCGGGAGGGGGCGGCGGCGAAGGCGCGGCCGGGGCCGGCAGC